GGGGAAACATCTAACTATGCAGGTAAAAGAATCCAGAGGAACAACATAACAAAAGGCTGTCTTAAAATTAATTTACCTGTATATGTGATGATGCTGCTGGTTTTCACATTTGCCTCCCTGCATGCAACTCTGTCATGTTACTACATTAGTTCATTAGTACAGTGAAAGACCTTAGTGCTCTTCCTGTAACATCAACAACACCCACAGCTTTTCTTACAACATGGTTTATCTAATAAAAATACAGTCTGGGGGAAATTTTTTCTGTGTATTTTTTTATTTTAAAAGACTTTTCTATAAGCACACCTATCATGTTCTTAATTTTGTCAGGAGTTGTTGAACCAGCAGCAGAGCTGTAAGCGATGTGTGTCTGTGGTTGAGAGGAACCACTACACCCTGCAGAGAATGCTCACCAACAGTAAGGTGCTCCGAAACTTCGATCTGTTACTGCTGCAGAAGAGAGTTGCAGAAATACAAGGATCTTTACAGGTTAGAGTCCTTACACTGACTCTGCGGAGAACTGAATACCACCCATTGATTGTATCAACCACAACGCTGATAATATTACAAAAAGATTAACTCAAATAAACATCAAATCGCCTACAAGGTGTCTTTGCTGGTTAGACGTCTATCACATCTCTCATTAGTCATCAGCATGATGTAATACAAATAATGTAATTATACTCTATTACCATCGAGGCCCATTACGGTCACTGTTAACCATCCTCTCAGGCTTTGCTGAAGGAGGTGGGAGAGCGGAGGAGGCAGGAGGAGGCCAATAACTGCCTGAGGAGGAGGTTTGAGGAATCGCGGCAGGAGCTGGAGAGAGTGCTGAAGAAAGCTCAGGGCTGCTTGAAAGAAACTGGAGACGCTGAGGAATTACTTAAAAAGCACTCAGTAAGATCAAATACGTTCCCTTTAAATAACTCAAAATTAGGGCTGTTGTAACATTGACACGCTACATTTTCATATTATTAATCTGATACAGTTTGTAATAAAACTCTGATTTTTGGCGTTGTCCCTTTTTGTGGTGCAGGATTTTTTTGGCCAGGTGGACCAGCGCGTGCTCAGCATGTTCTTGAAGGCGTGCGATGAGCTGACAGACATCCTCCCTCAAGAGGAGCAAGAGGGGCTGCAGGAAACTGTCCGCAGGCTGCACAAACACTGGAAGGTCAGGGGTCACCATGTTTTAACGCTCTCGCTAATTACCGTACATCTCTTGAGGCACATTGACATTACTTCATTAACTTAAGGGAAGACCCAGTTTTCTGTTTCCAATTACTGTGCACTAGTTAGATTAAAAGGAAACTGTCTGCATGTTTACTTGCTGTCACTCTTAAATTTTCTGTTTTCTCAGGACCTGCAGGCTGAGGTACCGTCTCACCTGCTTCACCTAAAAGTGGACGTGGAGAGAAATCGAGTGGCCCTGATCCTCCGGGACTGCAGAGAGGAGCTGGACAGAGAAATCCAAGCCCTGTCAGGCACTTGCACCAGCGAGCGAGTGATCAAAGAGCACAACGTGAGATTTGGTCAAAACAGATGCAATGAGAGCAAAAAAAAATAAAACAAAACACTAAATGTTTCAACATTTTCTTTGCTTTTATCAGACTTTCTTCAAAGAACGCAAACCTTTGACTCTATGTGAGAAAAGAATTAGAAATATGGAGGATCTGTGCCAAAAGTTACCTGACAATGATGCAGCTTATCGTATACTTGACTCCACAAGAATGGACGTAGAGGAGGTTAAAGAGCAAATAAAGATCACCCATCTCAAACTGGAACAGCATCCTGACAAATGGAAAGAGTGGAATGAAAGGTATGCATGATCAAATTGAGACACTAATGTACATCGGATGGCTATAACTCAAATGATTGTTTATGTTCCAGGTTCTGTGAACTTTCTGACTGGCTGTCATCTCAGAAAGCGCAGGTGATGCTTTTGAGAGAGTCTCCGATGAATTCTCGTCATCAGGAGCACGTTGATGCTGCCGTTCAAGTAAGTGGGAACATCGTATTATTATTTTTATTTTTTTGTAATATGGCACTAATATCGTAATAAAATTTATTGTCATTCATGTCCTTCTGCTTATATCAATTTCAGGGACTACAGCAGGCGGTAAATGCCCGAGAAGGGAGTCTACTATGGCTGAAGAGTCGCCTGGCCGGGCTCTCAGAGGTCAGCCCTGAAGTGGAAGTGCAGAGACAAAGAGCAGCGCTTGCCAAACTTTCAACTGACCTGCGAGCACTCTTATCTTCACTCTGCCAGGTACACCAGGTTATTTAAAGGATTTTAGGTCTCAGTGATTTATTTTTTAGCACTGGTGATTGATATCGTGTCCATCGGTCTCAGTTGGGAGAAGAAGGCACTCCTATGTTCCAGTATGAGGAGCTGAGGGATAACGTGCGCGGTGCCCTGGAGGAAGTTTTAAAGACTGAAAAGGAGGCTGAGGAGCAAATGAGCAGAATTCTGAATGCTGAGAGCCTGGAGGAGGCTAAACAACTGTACCTTATTCACCAGGTGTGTCCTGCAGAGACATGTTAAGTAGTTCAGGTTTTATATTAAAATGTATTTTACTTTAATCTTTAATAGTTATTTTATTTAAACCAATAGTTCACATACTTTAGTGTTGGTTTTTGTGGAAAGGTTGTGAACAATTAATATCTTACTTGCTGTAGATAGCTTCTTGAACAACATCAGTTTGAAGAAAAAGCCTGGACTCCAGAACTAGCTGCTTGTTCAAGCAGTGTTAAGAGCAAGTTAAATTGCTGCCCTCTCGTAGGCCCCCTACGGTCATACGGTGGTCACATAATATGACGTCACTACGGATACCCGACGTTACATTTTTAACCTCGATAGATGTCCTAGCAATCGATGTGTAGATTACTCGAGTACTCTGTTAATGCCCTGGTCACATGTGCGCATTTACTTCCGCGTATCAGGTTTTGAAATACAGCTGATATGACCATCAAAGTGCATTTATTAAACAAACGTTAGGCTGAGACACACATTTACTATAATTTCGAGCAAACAAATAATTGTTTTTAAGTGTTAATCTTGTTAAATTCTTGTTAAAGTCCTCCTGTACACGCTCCTGTGGCCACCATTTGACAGCCCATCGATTTTTGGCACACCAGCCCACATTTCCGGGTTGTCAGAGGTGACGCGTAACAAACGCCTGATTTTCCTACTTTATTAGACAAATATGGACTGATGCGACTTATAGGCGGAGCGACGTGTACAGCGGAAAATACGGTATGTTGCTAGCTCAGACTAGCATACGTAATGCTAGTCTGTGTAGTCTTTAATGAGTGTTCCACAAAATCCCCCCTAAAAAGATCAAGACAGTCCCATCCAGTAAGTGTTTTATAAAAATCTTATATATTATTTTTCCTGACTAATTTGTACAAAATATATATTTATCAGTCTACACACGGTGTTATAAGTGTAACATGTTCTTGTGTGTGTTTATTGAAGCAACACCTGCAGCGGCTGGATGCTAACAGGAAGGAGGCGGAGGTGCTGGTGTCTCACTGCCACCAGCTGCAGACAGGTGAGGAGCTGAGTCAGCATCTCCAAGAGCTGGAGGGAGCCTTCAGCGCAGTTGACTTCCAGTCTGGAGCAACAGAGCACAACCTGCAGGTAAACAGCCCCGCAGACTCTTCCACATGTCAGTGCGCTGATGTTTACGGATGTACGTTTCATTTATCATCCACACTCTTCCCTGTTTGGGTCGTTAATTTGCCCGTAGTAAAAAGTAACCACACACATTGATTTCTGTGTGCTTTGTTAATCTTTGTGTGTGTGTGTTTTAACTCACATTTAATCAAATTCTTTGTCCAACTATGTTTATTGGATATTAAGTTACATCACCTGAGCAAGCTGTATTTTTTGGTCAAATGTATTTATTTTGTTTATCATTTCATGAATATTTATTGAATGAAACCAAACGGTTCCTGATAGAATTGTGTTCACAGTCAGTGGGAGTTTAGAATTTATTGAACCAACAGTTTTAAACACAAATATCATAATCTGATGTTTCTAAAAAAAAAGTTAAATCTGGTCCTCTGGACATTCATTTTTGGAATGTCCAGAGGACCAGATTTAACTTTTTTTGATTTTTCTACCTGGATTATTGAGCATGCATCAGGATAATCTGATGTTTGTTTTCTTTTTAGACAATTAAAAACTCTTATTGGTGCAGAACTTAAGTTAGTGATTAATGTTGGTCTTTTGCTTTTTTTAATTATTATTTTTTTTATCTAAGGAAACTCTGAGTTCTTGGCAAAATTTTGAGATGGAAAGAGAAGCAGTATGGAGGTTCCTCACCAACGCTGACAACGAAGTGCACAAACAACTTATTTTTAACAGCTTGACGAGTCTGAGAAGTGAACTGGAGCACAACAAGGTGTGTGCGCACAAAATGTGACCTCATTTATAAATTGTTATTCTATCATTTATTGTTTTATGTGGACGTGACTGTGTATTCATTTCAATTTCCTGCTGTCATCAGGAGCTTTTTATAAAGTTTGAGGAGTATTCTGTACGAGCAGATGCTCTGCTGGAAATGGCGGCAGATATTCAGCTCGGTCCGAAGAATCAGGGTCTTCTTGTAGAGCAGGCTCAGTCCACCAGGGAAGCAGTCGCAAAACTGGAGAAGCGCCTCGAAGAGAAGTACGTCCCATTTAATCGTCATGGGTGTCAGTATTTTTTATTGATATTTTGTTGAAATACAGGGAGGCCATCTTTGGAGCGGGACAGGGAAATGCAACAATGTCCAGTGGGCATGTTGACACATAGGCCAACACAAATCTTATATTTCGGGAGAATTCTCAGGATTTTTTTTTACATATTAAAATTAGATTATTATTATTGTTTAATTAGACTATACTTTGCCAACATATGGTATCTGTTGTTTTTTTTTCCTAATATTTGCCCTCATCTAACAGTCTCTGTTTATTCTCGGTCTTTTTTCCTTACTTGCATGTTTTGTATTACAGTTTTGTTCTGCTGCAGAAGATGTTTACGCAGTGGGAGCGCTTCAGCAGTGAATCAGAGGCTCTCTCTCAGTGGATCAATGAGAGAGAGAAGGAGCTGGAGGCTGTCTGCTTCAAATCCTCCTCAGATCCTTTAGACAAACACATTAGCACAGTGGAGGTATGTGTTTCCTGGATTTCATTCCATCTTGTTTTGTTTTTAATCCCTTTATGGATCTGGGAGAATTTATCATTCTATGCTAGCTGCGTGCTGTATTAATTTTTAGACATCTTTTGAATAATCCTCCAAAATTCAAAAATCAATATGGGTTAGTATGTTTGCTGAATTACAATTTTCAGTCCTGTTAATCTCATGTCAGATATTTTAAAATGAATTGGAACAAAATTTATCGCAATTTTAAGACATGAATAAACAGAATTTGTGTAATTGTGTGAATGCTTATGAAGTTTGGATCCATTTTTCTTCCTAACGTTTTTTGGCATTTTGTCGTTTCACAATTTTTGCGCTATATCAACAAATCATATATCAAAATATTTGGCTGTTTCAGGACAATCCTGCTATGACTTTTGGTTTAGGTGCAACTTCAGTTTTTTTAAATATTTAGCCTTTTCTGCCACTTCTTTCCTCATAGAAAGAGAATTAAGCTCATTTTACATCCTTCAAATCTTTAGATCTGTTTACAACCTTTTACTGCTCCTTTCACATTTTGGTCCAGTTCAGCTTCTTTCAGCTTCCTTGTTCAAATTGAACTTGTTTCAGCTACTTCAAGCTAATTTCAGCTTTTTTTTTCAGCTGTTTTGTGATTCTTTCAGATTATTTCTGCAAACTACAACATTTTTGTGCTTCTTCTAACTTCTTTCTGCTAATTTTAGCTTGTTATGCTCCTTTCAGCTTATTTATCAGCTTTTTCTGCTATTTCAGCTACTGTTTAGCTGTTTTTTTAATGCTAATTGTCCGGCTAATTCCACATTTTTTGCATTCAATTAAACTTTTTCAGCCTAATTCTGCAAAAATGTGCTGTTTTCACTTCCTTCTGGTAATTTACACTTCTTTCTGCCTTTTTTTTTAGCTACTTTTCAGCTTTTTTTCTAATTTCAGCTTTTTTCAGATAATATCTACTTATTTGTGCTAATTTCTGGTTCTTTTAGCCTAATTAGGCAAACATGTTCCTTTTACTTTCTTCTGGCAATTTAAACTTGTTCTACCTTTTCAGCTACCTTTTAAGTTAATTTCAGCTGATTATGATAATTTCAAGTTTTTTGTGGTAATTTCTGCTACTTTCAGCCTAATTAACCTCTTTATGCTAATTTCAGCTTGTTATGCTCTTTTCAGCTTATTCCTGCTAGATAAAGTTACTTCAGATAGTAACCGTTTTATGCTAATTTTAGCTTTTTAAGCTACTTTCACATTTTTAGCTCATTTCAGCTCTTTCTGCTTCCTTTCTTGTAATTTAACCTTTGTTTTTCCTTTTCAGCTACTTCTTGATAATTTCAGCTTCTTTTTTTTTTAGCTAATTTCTGCATATTTTAACATAATTCAGCAAATATGGGTACTTTCTGCTTTCTTCTGCTAACTTAGGCTTGTTCTTCCATTTCAACTACATTTCAGCATGTTTTTTAGCTAATTCCAGCTGTTTTTCATCAACTTTTCTGCAGCAAGCATTCACACAGCATTTTCGAAGGAAATCCAATTTCTCTAGTTTTATCATTGTTTCCACATATGAACTAGTCTTTTGTTGCATTTCTTTTCAGATGGGTGAAGGTTTGGCAGAGAGAAGGGCAGCTCTAGCCCAGATGGAGGCTGACTCCGAGACCCTGTCCAGGTTTGTGACCCCGGGAGAGGCCGGGCATGTCCGTGCACGACTTGTCCAAACAAGGCGACGCTTTGACGAGCTTATGGAGAGAACGGAACAGCTTGGCGAGCAGCTCAATCTGAGCGCCTCCTACAGACAAAGATGCAACAATAACCTTGACCAGGTTCACAACATCTCATGACACAAGCAAAGATGTTTAGAGATGATGTTTTGTGCTGTTAAATTACCTACCATGTTTGTCTTTATCAGGTCAAGAAAGTATTTAGTGATCTCAAAGGAAAACTGGACTTTCCAATCTCTTATTGCACTTCATCATCAGAGACTTACAAGATCCTCCAGGATCACATGGTAAAAAAAAAAACAGTCTTTATAATTAAACAGTATAGCATACAGGCCTTTTCCAAGATGGTGTTTGATTTCTGTATTTCTGATTTTTAATCAATCATTTTAGTCAACCATTTTTCAAGGGTTGACTTGGTAGCTACAAGTATATTTTCATTTTCTCCAGGAGGTTTGCCAGGGGATTGAGCAGCTGAAACCGCGGCTGATGGCGCTGGGTTCAGCCGCAAAAAGGCTCGGAGAGGGCGGCCAGTTGGAAGAGGAGGTGGCTGACCTCCAGAGGCAACAGAGGCAGCTTGTTGGAAAGGCGGCAGACAAGCAATCCTCATTAGAGAGCCTTCTAGCTCTATGGCAAAGGTACAATAAATGGTCGCAGCGGCTCATTTTGATGCACTTCACTGAAAAATGAGATCATATGATGACACTGCTGTTTTCTTTTGTACTTTTTGCAATTTGTGTCATCTTTAGTTTCATTTATTAAATTAACGTTTTAACTAATTTACTTGTCTCTCAACATCTACGAATTTTAAAACGTTCAAAGAAACAAAAGCGGCAATTTTTCATTTCCTGATTGTTTTGTCTCATCCCAAATTGTAAAAAATAAATCCCCTTTTATTGTTCTTGTGCTCTTTCTGCTGCTTTCTCATCTCTATTCCAATTTCCTCTTTTATTCTTTGACTCATTCTTAGTGCAAAATAAGATAATAAGATCTTGTCTTTGCTTCAATCTGTCAGTCTTCCTGTCTGCTGTTGCTTTTTTATTCCAATTATATGCTTTTACTTATCACTTTGTTTGTAGAATAGAGTTACACCTAAGCAATTATTATTTTTTCTTTATGAGGGGGAAAATAACAATCCAGCCATGTGTTATCTATTTAAAGTGCTAACACTTTGGGCTGCTCTCTCAATCAATTTGAATTGACCACAGTTATATTTTTACCACTTGGTTTGTGCATTTGTGTTTCTTCATGTGAGACTAGACGTTTGTCTTTAGCCAGGCTCACTCTCTCCCCTGCAGACATAAAAATATGAGGGATTACTTTCAGCACTGGGTGCTCTGGTGAGATATGGTTGACCCATTATGACCCTGTCACTGTTACAGAGCCATGGTCAGATTAAAAAAAAGCAGACAGTGTTGCAGTGTGAGTGTGTATATTAACTTTAAAGGGTGTCCGTGGCATCTATTTACTGATATTTGTCATTTTCTTGCATTTTCTTTGATTTTAATGCCAACACATTTTTATGTACAGATATGAAAAAGAAACTGCATCAATGAAAGGTTGGCTGGGCAGATGTGAATCATTGTGCTGCCCAGATACTGAACTGCTCTCTGCAGATAAAGTGAAACTTAGGCATGAGCTACAACATGTGCAGGTAAAATCATTGCACCATTCTTTTTGTTGGCTTCAATGACTCTGTATTAGGTTGCATCAAACTTGTGTTTATTCGTCTTTACAGGGAATGCACGGGGAGGCTCCGACCTATGAGGTGCTCCTCCAGGGTCTCGCAAATCTCCAGCTTTGCCTGAACGCCACAGCACCTGAAGCTCGTGTCCAAGAGCTCAGTGATGACTTTGCTCAACTCAAGGAGAGATACACGTCTGTGAAAAGTAGCATAGGACGCAGGTATTTTTTTAAATTATCCATTATTTAACAGATTAAAGATTCAAGGTTTTGACATTTGAGTGTTTCAGACTGGTGCAACATATCATACTGTACAAATCAATCATCTCTTCCTCTTTTCCTCCGCTCTTTTTTCAGATGTAAGCTGCTGGAGATGCACTTAGATCAGGTGGAGCAGTTCTATCAAACCCTTCTTCTTTTGACAGAAAGGAGTGAAAACTTCCTGTCTGACCTGAGAAGCTCCTCCTCTGTTGATATTTCTAACCTTGAGGCTGCAGTTACTGAATTAAAGGTGATAAATCCAATGATTAGCTTTTACACAACATTAGAGAAGTTAAATTAAACATGTTTGCATTGATTTCCCTGTAACTGAATGAACTTGCTGCAGGAGCACGAGGCACGGCTAGAAGAAGATGCGTCGCTGGTAGAAACGCTGCATCAGAGAGAGTCCGGCCTTGTGTGCCGTTTCACCCCTGAGGCTCGACAGCAGCTGGAGGCCTGGAGGGAGGACTGCTTGCAGCCCCTCAGCGAATCCCAGCGTCTCCTCCTCGTGCGTAAAATGTTTCTGACTGAGTTAAAGGTTTTCCTCGAGAAGTATGAGACAGTGGCAAAGGCTGTGTGCCACCTCCGCGAGGCAGTGGAGGGCAGGGGGAGCTGGGACCACTCCAAAGCTGAAGAACTGCATTGTGGGATAGTGGATGTGACTAAAGACGTGGCCCGCCTTGAGGCTGAGGCGGTTGGGCTGGATGGACAGCTAAGCAAGGCTCATCTGCACCTTTGTGGAGCAGAGCTGACGGACTCTGAAGACAACAGTTGTCCTCAGGGTAGGACGTCCTGCAGAGGACAAGCAGTGGTCCTCACCATGGCTCTTGAGGGAGTACAGCGGGCTGTTGGATGGAGGCAAAGTGAAGCAGATGCTTTAGGGGTGTTGTGGTGCTCTTTCAGAGAGAGAAAGGAAGAGGTGATGAAGAGTTTGAAGAAACTAGAAGATGATGGAAGTCAAGAGGAGGCCAGAGAGTTCACTGTGCAGGCCTTTCAAAGCAGGTTCTTTCATTTTATTAGTCATCATAAGACCTAATTTATCAGAATATTTTGTGCCAGCATACCTTTTATTAAATGAATGTTTTAATGAGCAATTAATAGACCAGTAAGTTATAATAAAACTACGTAGAACATCTCTGGTGCAGATATTGATCTTTCTTTACTTGGACATTCATTTTTAAGCTGTTTAAAAGATGAAAACAAATTGTTTGGCACAAATTGCATCGTCCTCATTACTGTAAAACCTTCTGGAATGATTTGACTCAAGTTAATTGTTTTATTCTTGTGAAATATCTGAAGCTGAGAAACTTTATTAAACACACATTCTTATTGTTGAAGAGATAGACTGCATGGCAAACTTCTTTAAAACATGCAGCCAAATTACTGAAGCCAGCTTCCAGATGGAGACATTTATTTAAATTTGATGTCATTTTTTTTTTTTAAATATGGGATTTATTATGTTTGAATCAGACAGGTAATCCTCCATTGTTTTCTTCTGGATTTATTTCTCCCAGGCTGCGTTTCTTTGTCCAGCTGGAGGATGAGCTCCAGTCCCTGCAGCACTCCCAGCGATGGTTGGAGGAGAAAGGAACGCAGCTGGCGCAGAAAGACAGTGAGCTGGCAGCTGAAGCTCTCAGGGAGGTGACACTGGTGAAGACAGCCTGGGACAATGTGAAGACGTTGATAACCAACAGGTAAAGATGGGGTTTATTTTAATATTTTACAGATATGCTAAAAAAAAAAAAAAGTGTTTTAAAATTTTGTGGTGTTTATTGCCCTTTTTATTCTCACTCTACACTTGCAGTCAGGAACAGAGCGGAGTTGTGGTGGATCTTCTTCGCTTGATGCTCCACTTGAAGTCGGTCCTGACTGCCGTCGTGGAAAACGCTCAGGCTGTCGCTCACAATCTGCCCGACCATAATCATAACGCTCAGGATGCTAGAAGTGCTTTCACACAAGTCAGTACATTCAGGATTTCACATTAAACACGTTGTTGATGTGAAATACAGGGATTTCTCAGTTATCTGTATTATTGTTTGTAATAGCTGAACTGTATGCTACATAATATACACACATTTTAATCTGTTTAGAGTAAATAGATTCAGGATTTATAAGTCCACTTGAAGGAATTGAGTACATGTGTTATTTCCTGCAGTTAGAAAAGCCATTTGTCACTCGCTGCATTATTTCTGTGATAACTTGGATTAAATGTTTAAACTCTTTTGGTCTATACATTTTCATTATATTTCATAGTTTTAGGAATTTGATACTTTATTAGGCCTAAAAGGCAAAATGTTATGAATTCATTGTTGGATTTTCTTCCAAAAAGCTGAAGATTGTTTGCATTTACTGATTGGAGACAATATGTAATTATAAATTCAGGCAAGAGCTTTAAGCCAATCATTTTTTGTTGAGAAATTACAGAGTTAGAGCTATTTCTTTAAACTTTGAAAACGTTATTCACCATCTCTTGAGATTTCTCGCCTAATTTAGCTGGAGTCTGACTCAGCTACAGCCAATTTTAGCTCAATATCTGTAAAAACCCACAAAGGAATAGCTGTTTTAGAGATATTCTGCTAAGAATACAGATAACGGAATATTTAAACACACAGACATGGGCAACAAAACTTTATAGTCTTTTTGTTTTTGGAGGTGAGCGGTAAAGATACATTTTAATCTTCCAGCTTGGGCTGTGGCAGCCTGTTGTCATCATACTCTGCTCTGTTCTGTGTGCCTGCAGCATGAAATCGTCCATGCTGAACTGAGAGAGAAACAAGAGGACATGGACCAGCTCATCAGCACAGTCGAGGACCTGCAGAGAGAATTGGAGAAGGTTCCTAACTCTAAGATGTTCTCCATCCAGGCGGAAATGGAGGCTCTCAGGGACCAGTGGCTGCTGGTGAGTGGTGCTCTATCTATACGTCAGCTGTGTCAGCTATCTGCTTTTGTATAAAATGGGGGAAAGTATATACCCATTTAACATTTTCACATTAGGGCGGCTGTGACTGAGCAGTTAGGGTGGTCGTCCTCCAATGCAAGAGTTGGGGGTTTGAATCCATCAGCAGTCACGTGTCAAAGTGTCCCTGGGCAAGACACTGAACCCCTCATTGCCAATGATGTGTGTCCCATCAGTGTAGGAATGTGATAAAGCACTGATTAGTCTCTCTAGAATGATTTGTTCAATTAGTTTTGTAGTGATCTAGTAGAGTGCTGTATGGATGGGTAAATGAGGACACAGATTGTAGTGTAAAGAGCTTTGAGTATCTTGATAAGATGGAAAGGTGCTATATAAGTACAATCCATTTACCATTAGAAATCATGAATATTACACACAGGTGCATCTAAATAAATTAGAATATTGTGAAAAAAATATTTTTTTCATTATCATTTCAAAAAGTGAAACTCATAACTTACATAGATTCATTACACATAGTGTAATATTTCAAGTCTTTATTTCTTGTAATTTTGATGATTATGGCTTACAGATAATGAAAAACTAAAATTCAGTGTCTCTGAAAATTAGAATATTCCACAACCAGCTTTTGGTACTTTAAGCAGTGTGGGCAGGAGCCAAATCCTGCTGGAACTTAAAATCAGTATCTCCATAAAGCTCGTCAGCAGAAGGAACCATGAAGAGCTCTAAAATGTCCTGGTAGATGCTGCATTGACTGGACTTCAGAAAACACAGTGGACCAACACCAGCAGATGACATGGACTCAAACCATCACTGGCTGTGGAAACTTCATACTGGACTACAAGCAACATGGATTCTGGGCCTCAACACTCTTCCTCGTGACTCTTGGACCTTTGATTTCAAAAGGACATGACAGTTTACTTTCACGTGAAAAGACAACATTGGACCACTGAGCAACAGTCCAGTTCTTTGTCTCCTCAGTAGGGCTTTAACAGACTACTAGAGTAATGTACACATCAATTCCTAGGACATCTATTGAGTTTTTAAATTTCAAGTCGAGTTTTCGTGGTGATGCCATTACGTCGCCGTTACGTCATTGTGTCATGTGTCACGTGATCCGCACTGGGCGCGGGCTACAAAATGTATTCCTCCAAGCAGACGCCTGGAGCGGAGCAGGCCCAGTCTTGGCAAACGGGTAGAAATACATCAAGAGTATGGAAATATTTCACTAAAGATGAATCTTCTGGTTCAACGACCGTAAGGAAACAGAAAATGCATCAACTTCCTGACTGTTTGGAACTCGTTGCGAACCGGTGTTACACCATATTCTGTGACCGTAGGGGGCTGTGTTGCATGCACTGTTGCAGGTCATAGAATATGGTGTAACACCGGGTCCAATCGACCGAACCAGAACCAGCTTCCTCTGACCTTGTTTCACAAACAAAAAGCAAAAAATATTAATCTCTAAACCTGTAAAAACAATAATAAATAATAGTTTTGGTTTTCCTGTGATTTATTATTTGCAGTATGATAAATGGCAGGAGCATAATATACTCTCCCAATGTTTTGCTGGTCTTTTTTTTATTTCTTATTTTAATAATGATGTTTTTTTGCGGTTTTATTTCTCTATTTATTTTTGCATCTTGAGATCCTATGACGTCATCAACTACTCGAGTTCTACTCGAGTTTTATTATGTTAATGTCGAGTTTTAAAATTATGTAGTCGTTCAAACCCTACTCCTCAGCAGGTAAGACACTTCTGATGTCGTCTGGTTCAGGAGTGGCTGGACTTGAGGGATGAGACCTTTGTCGGTCATGTCTAGGAGTTAATCAGCTGATTAGGGTGAGACACCAGGAATTTTCAATATTAATATTAATATTCTAATTTTCTGAGACATTTTATTTGTGTTTTTCTGTAAACATCTGTAAAAAATCTGTAAGCCATAATCATCAACATTACAAGAAATAAAGGCTGAAAATATTTCACTCTGTGTAGTGTAGTTAATCTACATAATATGAGTTTCGCTTTCTTAAATGATTGACAAAAATAATAGAACTTTTTCACAATATTCAAATTTTTTGAGGTGCACTTGTAAATTCTCGTGTCTTGGGTTAAGATATGATAACGACTCATAAATGTATGAATGACTGTTTTGTTTTTCACTGGTAGCATTAAAGAAAATGTCATTCACAGTCCATCTCTGCCACAGACTCGAGCCATTTAATGGTGTTTGTTTTTAGCGTTTTCTGTTTTCTTTATGTATTCTCTCATCCTTTTTTATTTAGTTGTCTGCTCAGCTGTCACAAAATGAGACAGAAAAACAAACATGTCTAGACAGGTTATCTTCATTTCTCTATCTCTCCCTCACGTCTCACTCCCACATCTGTCAAACTAATTATGCCTCATTTTTCCTCCAGCTCCCAAAGAAAGAAAAAAAAGCACCGTCCCTTGTTAAAGAGTGACAGAGATGGCTAAACACAAAGGAGGGAGACCCTTCCTCTGCTGTCGATTGAGACGTTTTCTGTTCTGTACTTAGACCATCTTTCTTCAGGTTTCAGAGAAAATACAAACAAACACAGAAAGACTTGGCTACTGTGCTGAACTCTGGGATGACCTGAAGGCCCTGGAGCGTGACATCAACCAGTGGACGGCCGCCTCCGTCACTGATCTCACCGGCTCCGTCGCCAGACTTGGTGACGTGGAGTCGGCAGAGGCTCTTCTCGCCATCTTTCAGGTCAGAGCACACCGACTAGCAATGATACAGTGAAGTCACAGTGGATGTGATTTAAACGTCTCGCACTTTGATTTGAAGGCTGAGTTGGAAAAGCGGGAGCAGAGGTTCAATGTCGTGCAGGCGAGGGTGGCCGAACTGAAAGAACGAGCCAAACTGCAGGAGACGCCTATACAAATGCAGGTGAATGGGATGAGAAATATTTCAATCAAGTAGTTAGAATGAGAGGCGTGGCATGAACAAAAAGGAATTACTTGACATTGATGGGGTTTCTAATCATTTTCATTAAGGTCTTGGTCATGGTGGTGGATGTGCTCTCTGAAAATCAGAACATTTGAAAATTCAAAAGGTTTTGCCATAATTTTTATATAGTAAGATAAGATAAGATAGAACACAAGGAATCACACAATATATAGTAAAAAAATAGAATATAAAAATACCAACAATTAGGGTCTGAAACAGGTCAGGTGCAGACAGAAACATTAAAGTTTAGTAGTACCCGGTAGCAAAAGTTACCCATTTAGGTCTAGTTATTATGTCACAAAGGCCTTAATTTAATGATTAGGCATCAAACAAATAGTTCATCATGTGCTGCAGAGAAACAAGAAGATCTTCACATTCATGTTTCATTGAAAATATATTTTGCTACATTTAAAATGCATCCCCAGTGTCGAAAACTAAAACAGATAATGAAACATTCTGCTTTAATCTTGACGCATAGGCTCATGGGATTGTTGGTGGTTGTTTTCTGCCTTAAGCAGCTACAATGCTAGCTGAAGATGCTGCAATGCTAACACTAGCTTGTGCATAAACAGGGATATTTTAGCTGTTGTTTTGATGTTTTTCTTTTTCAATTCTTCGCTTATGCCAAGTAGAATAGACAAATTCAGCAAAAATAAGTTTATTTATATATACATACACACACACACAC